TTATTAGAATATGTATTTTAAAGCAGTAGGCTGGAAATCTGACATATATACTGATTTTTTTTTATCACATTGTCATATAAGGGTGTTTCTTAATTCAGTGCCTTTCAGAAGAGAATAGAGCTGCTTGAAAATCAATTAAGTATATTTCATCATGCAATCTAGTCTCTTAGATGCACAGGAAACAATTTGCTGCTCCCTTGACAGGATGGACTGTGAGTCTGGCCAAGGCCATTTTTTTTTTTTTTTTTTTTTTGAGAGAGATGAGGTTTCTTCATGTTGCCCAGGCTGGTCTCCAATGGCGTGATCTTGGCTCACTGCAACCTCCACCTTCCAGGTTCAAGCAATTCTCCCATGCCTCAGCCCCCCCAGTAGCTGGTATTACAGGCATGTGCCACCATGTCTGGCTAATTTTTGTATTATTAGTAGAGATGGGTTTCTCCATGTTGGTTGGGCTGGTCTCGAACTCCTGACCTCAGGTAATCCCTGCCTTGGCCTCCCAAAGTGCTGGGATTACAGGTGTGAGCCACCATGCCCTGGCCAAGGCCTTTCTGCCTAGACTCACTGCACAGTCATATTTCTCTTCTGGAATCCTGCCACCCTCGAAGACGCCATGGCCTCCCTGGTTGTTCCTCTGCCCAGGGTAGAGCCCAAGGGAACAGGCCACAGGAGCCCTTCTGTGGGAAGTAGCACTCCACTCCTGGCCTTCTTGACAACTCTTCCACTCTGCCTAGGGGGAAGAATTTTTCCTGGCCTGCAGGTTCAGGGTGGAGGGCAAAAAGCTGTGTTCTTCCTCCAGGAAAGTTCTCCCAGGTATGCCTCATTCAGGAGGCTTCTTCTACACCCCAAGACTGAGGCATTGGAAAAGCTAAGGCCAGTGCCTGAATCTTTGCTTCTCCTGACTTTCTGCTGATCATCCTTCCCTAAGTGACCTTGAAAGCTGACATTATAGGGAAGGGGAATCTAGCTACTCTCTTTCTTTCCTTCTTTCTCTTTCCTTCCTTCATTTCTTTTTCTTTCTCTCTTTCTTTCCTTTCCCTCCCTCCCTTCCTTCTTTTCTTTTTTTTTCAGAGTCTTGCTCTTGTCTCCCAGGCTGGAGTACAATAGGGCAATCTCGGCTCACTGCAACCTCCGCCTTCCAGGTTCAATTGATACTCCTTTCTCAGCCTCCTGAGTAGCTGGGATTACAGGTGCCCACCACCATGCCCGTTCATTTTTATATTTTTAGTAGAGACAGGGTTTCACCACGTTGGGCAGGCTGGTTTCGAATTCCTGACCTCAAGTGATCCACCTGCCTCGGCCTCCCAAAGTGCTGGGATTACAGGCATGAGCCACCGTGCCCGGTGAATCTATTATTTCAAATAACACCCACTCCCTCCCACACCGGCGCCCTTGGGTCTCTCGTGCCTCCTGTCTAATCAAATCCCAGAAAACGGCTGAGCCTCCACCTGCCTCAGTAGCCATGTCTGCCCAGGTATTCTAACCTTGTATTCTGCTATACGAAGTTCAACAGGAGTTACTCCCAGATTGTGGTCTGGGGTTATCTTCACACCACTGCCTTCTACTAACTTGCCAGCTAAAAACTTGACTGGGATCCGCTGTCCCTGCCTCCCCCGGGACAGCACTGTTTGATCCCTGTGTCAAAGCCCAGTGTGTAACCAGAGGAAAAAGCACATCTAGGACCCAAGATCTCCTGGTACTTGTCACCCTGTGACCCACTTTGACTCACCCTGTCACACTGAGCAAGTTGTTTGAAACTCTGTGGCTTGGTCTTGTTGTTGCAAAACATCAATGACATTTGCTCTCTCCCTTCCTGACAGTTATGTGGTGAGAATAAGTGAAATACTGTACTGCCATCACTAGGAAAACAACAGTTTGTTGGACTTGAGACATTTTCACATCTATTACCGCATCTATCCAACACTCGGCTTCAGAAAAAATAATCCTCACGGGGTATACAAATATAAAGAAGGAGAAATTGCTCTTTAATACACGAAAAAATATACTAGTTCCTGTATTCCCTGGCACAGTATTTCCATTTTGATTGGTTTTTCTGCTGTTCACTCCCCAAGCATGTCTTTATTTCACAAGGGGAAAACTCACATGGTGGAGCTGCAGCGTGTTCGGCCCTATGTTGTTTAGCGATTGGAAAGGATCTGTTGGAAGGAGCAAGGAATATACCAGAGTGATTTAGGTGAAGTAGCCAGGTTTGCTGAAATCAGCAGGAGGTCTGCAGCCAAAGAACGCTCCGGTCTTAAGTCCCCTGAAAGACTTGACTCTCAGACTGGGCATCCCATCAGCTTTTCCCTCTTCCCTCCAGCCGCACACATCCTATTTCTTACCCATACTTCTCCTTTATTCCGCAGCAACACCAAAAGTCCAAAAGCTCCCCATCCAGTTAAGATCATTTAGGTTTTTTTTTTTTTTTTTTTTTTTTTTGTAGGGTTTTTTTTTTTTTTTTTTTTGAGATGGGGTCTTGCTATGTTATCTAGGCTGGCCTGGAACTCCTGGGCCCAAGTGATCCTCCTGCCTCAGCCTCCTGAGTAGCTGGAAATATGGGCATGGTGGCTTCAATCTTTTTGATCCAAGAGGCAACTGTTAAGTTCGAGATGGGGTTTCTCCAAATGACAACATTACTTAAATAAGAAAATACTACAACAAAAGCCCATTTGATAAAGCAAATGCTTCAGAGCAACACACTTTTAATCGTTCAGAGTCATCTCCCACCCATCCACACCTCTTTTCTTAGTTTTCCTCATTTCATTTCCCTTCCTCTCTCTTTCTTTTCTTTTTCTTCCCTCCTTTTTTCTTTTTCTCTTTTTTCTTCCTTCCTTCCCTTTTTTCTTTCTTTCTTTCTTCTCTCTCTCTCTTTCTTTCTTTTTTTGATGGAGTCTTGCTATGTCACCCAGGCTAGAGTACAGTGGCACAGTCTCAGCTCACTGCCACCTCCGCCTCCCTGGTTCAAGTGATTCTTCTGTCTCAGCCTCCCAATTAGCTGGGATTACAGGCATGCACCACCATGCCCAGCTAATTTTTGTCTTTTCAATAGAGATGGGGTTTCACCATGTTGGTCAGGCTGGTCTTGAACTCCTGACCTCAGGTGATCCTTCCACCTTGGCCTCCCAAAGTGCTGGGATTACAGACAGTGCTGGGATTACAAGGAGCCACCACGCCCCTTTTCCTAATTTCATTTTCATGTGCACTCCCATACTTTCAATAAATCTATGTTGAGGGTAACTTTCATGAAACATCAAATCTAGAGACCTATAGTGGGCAGAACAGACCCTTGCCCTCCAAATGTGCTTTGTCACCCTCAGAATTTTCTTTCCTCTTCTAGCCCCTTCTTACCATCTTCCCAAACTTATCACTGCACTTGTCATCAGCCTTTGTCATCAGCTCATGAGGCCATCAACTGCTTGTTTTTATTTGGGGAACCACCAGGGCTCAAGCTCACAGCCAGAGAAGACATGGGTCTCCTGAACTCACTCTCCATGCTTTTAATTTCCTTCCCAGCCCCCTGTTTATCGTGGACAGTGGTCTCATTTAAAACAGAAAATCACTTCTTGTCACTTGTCCTGTCAAAAGTCTTCTGTTCATCTAGCCTGACCAGATAGCCCCATTGCCCGGCTGTCTGTTTCCAACCTTCAGCTATTTTTCTGGAGGTGACTTAGCAAGCTGCACTCACTCTTCTCCCTTGAGAGTTCCCTAGGCCAGTGGCTGCCTGGGAAGACATGTGCAAGTATTACCACCGCTCAAGACGCATTTCTCATGATGAGGCAGAAGTGAAACAAAGCAAGCCTGTACATCATTTTCATTCACCACCGAGGAATTACAAATGTTCTGAAAGTGAAACACATTTGCATTATTCCAATCACCTAATTTATCTGGATTTCCACCTTCATTTGTGAAACAAAGGAGTCAGTGAAGCAAGATCAACAAAGCTTTGGGAACTCTTGTAAAAGTAAATAAAATAAATATTGTGATTCTACAATATGTTTTGACATATTTTGTATGATCTCTTCATGATTCAGGCTGGGGGCAGGAGGGGAAAGATGGGCAATTGCTGTAAATCAGGCTTTTCCTGAATTTGATAGCTATATTTCATGGACTTTAGGCTTATGCAGTTTCAGGGCCAGGAACAATTTGTATGAGTTATCTATTGCTGTGTAACAAAGAACCTCAAATCAGCAAATATTTACTATCACACAGTTTCTGAGCGTCTAGAATCCAGGAGTGGCTTAGCTGGGTTGTCTGGGCTCCAATTCTTGCATGAGGCTATAGTCAAACTGTGGGTTAGGACTGTGGTTGTCTCAAGGATTGGCTGGGGCAGGTGAATCCCCTTCCAAGCTCACTCGGTTGCTGGCAGCCCTTGGTTCCTCACAGGCTGTGGGCCAGAGGCTTCAGTTACTCACTGGCTACATCTCCAAAGAGGTGCCCATGACATGACATCTAACTTGTCCCAGAGTGAGGGATCCAAAGCAGAGAGAGAATGACCAAGAAAGAAACCACAATACCTTTTAAAATCCATCATCAGAAGTGACATACCAACCGCCCTAGGTACAATGACAAAGTAATGACAGGATGTGGGGATTGCTGGACACTGTCTTGGAGGCTGGCTACCCCAGAACCTTAGGAATAATGCAGTCTGTTAAACGCACGCTCTGAATGAAGAGACCCCTAAACAGGCGTTGTGTGAGCAGCAGGGCTGATTCTGCCAGGTGGGGAGGGGGGCGGTGGTGCTGAGTCTGAAAAGTCAGGGGAGGGTGGTGGGATAAGAACTGGTTTTATAGGTTTGGGGTAGGTAGAAGTTACAGTTCAGGACGGTTTTTGCAAGCTGGGAGGGGGTTGTAGGGTCTGGAGTTACAAGGTTGACAAAGGTCGGTTATAAAGTCCAATTGCCTTTTGAGTTTAGGTGGGAATAAGGAACAATAGAAGAATGTCTCAAGTTAATTAGGTGCCGAAGGGGTTGATCATTCTTCCCCTTTCTGCAGTCTTCCAGTTACTTCAGACTTTCTAGTTCCAGGAACTCATCTGGAGTGTATGTGCAGGTCACAGAAATTACCATGGCATAGTCCATGGTGCAGTCAGCCAGCCTAAAAGACCTTACACAGTCCAATTCCCTTAATGACAGCTAAGGAAGCTAAGGTCCAGAGAGTTAGCCTCCGAGTGAGTGGGCCAAGAACACGCCAAAGGTAAATCACCAAACCAGAACTTGAACCCAGACTTTCTATATTTTAAAACACTGCAATTTAGCAACTACATATTTTACTCATTCAGTGCTTACCAAAAGCAAGAGCTGGACTAGGCAGCATGGAGATTCCAGGATAAAGAAGACAATCACAGTCCTTGACCACAAGGTCACAGGCGTGGGGTGGAGTGGGATATACAGAATGAGAATATCCAGTAGAATGGAGCACACGTCATCAGAAAGTCACAGCTGAAGACCCTTGATAGTTCAAAGGCAGGCCTGATTCCACTGGCACCCTCAGGGGAGGCTTTGTGGAGGTGGTAACATTTGAGTTGGGCCTTGAAGTATGGATAGATTGAGGCAGATGGGGATGAACGGGGTGGGGCTAGGCTGAGAGTCCATGATTCGACCCTGATATCTCCAAATCTAACTCTGTGAGTTTCAACTATGGCGGTATTAATCAAGGGCCCCAGCTCTGAGTTACCCTTTTGGCTACTGATGACTAAACTTTGGGGCTATCTGGAAGGAGGACCTTGATAGCTTTGGTAAGAGCTTCAGTTGCCTTGGCTGCCACTGATGTTTTTACTGATGATGTTGACACTTTGTGATCAAGACTTTGAAACCAGCTTCCTGATCATAGCTATTGATGTCATCCAGACAATCCCCCAATACAGTGGAAAACCAATTTTAAGTAGTTCATGAGTCCATGTCTGTTTGTTTCAGAAAATCACCCTTGCCTGTTTACCTGCTTTCGAGTTGATGTAGGAAGTTTACTACTGGGGAGGTGGTAAGAGGTTAGAAAGGGTGGGCTTGAGTTGACGGCAGCATTTCCCCAACCACAGGCCAGACGCTTTCAGGTAGGAGGGAGTGGAGGGGCAGCCAGTGGATGTCCATTACAGAATGTGTTCAATCGGGCTCATTATCCACCATATTTAGAAAACCCACAGGTAGGCCTAGCACAATGGCTCACGCTTATAATCCGAGTACCTCGGGAGGCCAAGGTGGGAGGATCACCTGAGGTCAGGAGTTCCAGACCAGCCTAGCTAAGATGGTGAAACCCCGTCTCTACTAATAATACAAAAATGAGCCAGGCGTGGTGGCAGGTGCCTATAATCCCAGCTACTTAGGAGGCTGAGGCAAGAGAATTGCTTGAACCTGGTAGGTGGAGGGTGTAGTAAGCCAAGATTGCACCACTGCACTCCAGGCTCGGTTGGGTGACAGAGTGAGACTGTCTCAAAAAACAAACAAACAAACAAACAAACAAAAAACCCACAGGTATTGATGAATGCCTTCAATGTAATTGATTAATGTGTAGATGGCATCATTTGGATGAAAAGTTTTGAAACTATAAAGCAAGATTCATTAATGAGTCATGGTATCAAATTTGCAGCACCAATTCAGCATTAAAAAGAAGATTAAAACATTGGAGGGATAAGTAATGCTTTGTAGAACTTTTGTTTCAGTTACTTGCATGTGTGTGCAATGAAAAATATATTTCTGCCGGGCGCGGTGGCTCAAGCCTGTAATCCCAGCACTTTGGGAGGCCGTGGCGGGTGGATCACGAGGTCAAGAGATCAAGACCATCCTGGTCAACATGGTGAAACCCCGTCTCTACTAAAAATACAAAACATTAGCTGGGTATGGTGGCGCGTGCCTGTAATCCCAGCTACTCAGGAGGTTAAGGCAGGAGAATTGCCTGAACCCAGGAGGCAGAGGTTGCGGTGAGCCGAGATCACGCCATTGCACTCCAGCCTGGGTAACAAGAGTGAAACTCCGTCTCAAAAAAAAAAAAAGAGAAAAATATATTTCTTTTTGATGCGGCCACAGACAAAACAGTTTGTTTTATCTACTGTATTTTATGTTTTTTAAGGTATTTTATTTTTGAAAACAGGATCACAGCTCACTGTATCTTCAGACTCCTGGGCTCAAGCAATCCTCCTGCCTCAGCCTTCTGAGTAGCTGGGACTACAGGCAGACCACCATGCCCAGCCTGGTTTCTTTATGTTTAGTAGAGATAAGGCGTCACTATGTTGCCCAGGCTGGTCTTGAACTCCTGGATTCAAGTGATCCTTCTGCTTCGGCCTCCCAAAATATTTCAAGGTACTTTAGAAACATAAAACTAACATTTCAAATGGTATTATAGATAGTACTTCTTGGAATTTTTTTTTTTTTTTTTTTTGAGACAGAGTCTTGCTCTGTCACCCAGTCTGGAATGCCGGGACACCATCTTGGCTTACTGCAAACTCCATCCTGCGGGTTCAAGAGATTCTCCTGTCTCAGTTTCCCAAGTAGCTGGGATTACAGGTGCATGCCGCCATGCTAATTTTTGTATTTAGTAGAGACGGGTTTCACCACGTTGGCCAGGCTGGTCTCAAACTCCTGACTTCAGGCGATCTGCCAACCTCAGCCTCCCAAAGTGCTGGGATTACAGGCGTGAGCCACTGCGCCCAGCCAGGATAAATGTCTCTTTAAAAAACTCAACTTTATTGCAACACACTTCACATATAATAAAATTTACTAATTTTAAGTGTGCAGCTTAAGGAACCTTCACAGATAGATATAGTTGTGTTACCACCACCAAAGTCAAGATGTGGAAGAGCTCTTTCACCAAGAAGATTCCTGTTTCCTTCTCAGTCAGTCTCCTTCCATCACCCAGCCTGTCCTGTACAGCAAGGGGTCAAGGTATCTAGGCCACAAGCACAAGGACGGGTAAGCTGAACAATATGTACTTAGGATCCATAGCATGTAGGGCCTTGGAGTTCAGAGGATGACCAGGACTTTGGGTTTACTCTAAATGAAATGGGGAGGCATGGGAAGGTTTTAAGCAAAGGAGTGATCTGACTTAGGTTTTGAAAAGGCTATGGAGAAACTACTTTATATATACACAAGGGTTGAACAATAAAAAACTATACTATAGGTAAGAGAGCCAGACTTCTCACTGCTGGAGAAGGAAGTTACAAATGAGAAATAAGGGAAGGAAGGCTACTATGATCTTTGTGGATGGGAGTTAGAGGCATCAGTAGGCACATGTGTGTGGAGCGCCAGCTAGATACAGAGAAATAAACATAGACATGCTTGTAGACATGGGTTACATGTGTGTGCATGAGTGTGTGTATGTGTGTGTGTGGCCATCTTAATCTTAAATCTTCTAATCCATGAACACAGGCTGTCTTTCCATCAATTTAGGTCTCTTTAAAAATGCATTTCAAGAATGTTTGGTCATTTTCAGGGTGCAAGTCTTGTATTTCTTTGGTTAAATTTATTCCTAATTTTTTATGTCATTATGAATGTAACTTCTTTTGTTTGTTTTTGTTTTTTGAGATGGAGTCTCGCTCTGTTGCCCAGGCTGGAGTGCAGTGGCGTAATCTCGGCTCACTGCAACCTCCATCTCCTGGGCTCAAGTGATTCTCCTGCCTCGGCCTCCCTAGTAGCTGGGATTATAGGTGCCTGCCACCAGGCCCAGCTAATTTTTGGCCTTTTTTTTTTTTGTTTACTGCGATGATAGGATTCAACAGTTTCAGAT